CGCGGTATTAGAACGGCGATATTTACATCAATTAACGAACGTTTTACTCGCCATCGGTGGAAACTTTTTGCGCGCTGTGAAACGGACTCTATAAACTCGATCGGTGAGGAGTAAGAACCGTGTGAAAATTTATTGACTCGTCCAACGGATTTTTACGGTGCTTTTCGCGATTGCGTCTGAAAAGTCGCGAAAGTGTGGGATTATCGATATCTACGAGTGAAATATTCGCGACGCGAATGCACGCGAGGAAAGATTAGACAATCAGAAACCGGTCCCCCTTAGGGAGCGCAAAGAGAGAGAAGCGGGGCAAAGTTTTCACGCATTATAGCTCTGTCACGACGTAGCTTACGTTCGCGATACTTTGGCGAAATGAGAATTTAACTTTTCTTTGTTAGCAACGCGAGTAAAAACGCGTATATTGACAACCGCGGTCGCGATATTCAAAGGCACGCGAGCGAGGATGTCTCAAGCTCGGTGTGCACTGGCGCAATTTCTACCCGCATTATACGCTACTCGAGACAATAGGGATTGTGATGAATGGACAATATTGCCAAATAATTCTACAGCCTGTTTTGCAAATAAAAGAAAAGTAGCTAACGATATCGGCATTTAGATATGAATACATTTTATATGGACAATTGAATATTGTCAAATAATTAAATCGTTAAGTAATTCTGCGGCCCGCTTAAAAAATAAAAATAAAGCAGCTGATGTCGGTGTCGCGTTTGTACATATGAATATTCTCTTATTCAGATGACTGAACATCAAAAGAGAATCATTCAGTATTTAAAATCTTGTATGTAATGCAGGCTGTCGATCAAGTAATCCCCTGATTGTTTCGAGCAATGTATTTTATTCAACGTCACAAATACACACATGCAAGTATCTATTTGCAATTCGCATTGACTCAAACAATATTTTTTAGTCCCACATCCGTCATGCAGAATTTTGTTTCTCTTTTCATTTTGACTCACCGAAACGACTTGCAGTCAGAGCCGGCCACGTTCCGCTTCAACTCTGTAACAAAAAATTCACATTTGCTCATCAGATTTGACCAACGAGTGCGGGCGAGTAAAAAAGTAGTTTACCCTCTGCGATCGTAATTCAAGTCGAGCCGGAAATTATATCCCAGCTCTAGATCGCCAAGGGTCAAACAGAGGACTATAGTAAACTTGTAAACTTACCTTCAAGCCGACTCTGCTTCGCCCGAACCGGATCCTCCGGTGCGGCATCCGCGTCCACCGGATTGCTGTTGCTTTCCGCAACAACTGAAACAGAAAAATAATTTTCCCGGTTGATAACCTGCGGTAGAGAGAGAATATCTTTGATCGGGACCAATCGAAAATACGGATATATTTTGATACGGAATTTTTATCTTTATATTTTTGTTCCAACATTGAAAATTTAAATGGGACTTGAAGCTTTCAAGAGAGCTGATGAGGAACAAGTTACAAAGGCAAAGATCGTAAAGAGTTGAATACAGATGTGTAGGAAACTTGTAAACTTTACCTTCCGGCCGACCCTGCTCTGCCCGAACCGGATCCTCCGGTGCGGCATCCGCGTCCGCCGGACTTGCTTCCCGCAACGTCTGGAACAAAAATTTAGCGTTCTTGGTTGGTAAGCTGCGGTAGGGAAAAAATGGTTGGTCGGGATGAGTGGAGAATATTCGCTACGATTTTTTTTCTTTATTGACATTGAATGTCTAGATAGGAGCTCTTGAAAGAGCTGACGAAAGAAAATGACAATAAGAAGCGGAGACAACAGTTGTGTGCTCTCGAAAATATTCTTTTACGGATGGACATTTAAATTCAGATCCCGTAATAAGAGTAAACAAACTTGAAAAAAGCGCTGATCGAAAACAAAAAAGGTCGCAGTCTAAGAAACGATATGACGTTGAATATTCTACACAAGACCAATATTCTCACACAGGAATTGGGAATGATTCAGAATGTTTGATTGAGAACATGATGAATTCGAGATCCACGTCCATGGACCGTTATCCGTCTCTGTCTGGATCAATATCTTTTGTATACAACAACGCAATAAATAGATAGACAGACAGAGATTGACGAGAGTAATTGCAAATTCATAAAGTGATGATTACTAGTCGGATGATGACGGATTGTGAATGCCGAGCGCGAAATTCCGACTTCTTATTCCCGGAAAATTCGTCAAACGTACGCTCTCGTTATCGGAGACCTCCCGCGTAATAAATGATTCCACATACCTGGAAACGTGACGTATCGCTGCCGGCGTTCTGCTTCTCGACTGCTGAAGTCATCCGGATTTCACTCGCTCACGCTTCTAATGCTGATACTCGCGATTCGACCGTGCAGTTAATGAATGAGATGCCGACGCGATGCCGATTGAGTATCTCGAGGGCCGACGAGATATATTTCTTTTAATTACACGAGACGGAAGTGACAAGAGCGTCGCGCACGGCTGCTGCTGATGGAATGAGGTCGAATACATGAGATACGCGAGTATTATAATACGAAGGGCAAAAAGTGTCGTCGCTCGCCGATCAACACAATCGGCGCGATGTAAACATTGCGGGCCTCGGCGGCGGTTGAAGCAAAAGAAACTTGCCTTTGAGCGTCTCTCGTTTTCTCGAAGGTTTCGGAATGACGAGGGGAATGAGAGGAGCGAGGATGCCTTTCAACTGTGCGACATTGATGCACTCTGTTTATTGATTACTAAAAATAAAGAAAATTACTCTGTCGAAGCATCGGACATTTGTTAGCTTTATGTTAATTAAAGAGGAATGTATACGATTAGAAAATGTGTTAGCAACTAATTGTACAGAGTGTAAGTTGTTGTGACGCCGTTTTCAGAGAATAATTAAAGGTCATGGTAGCGTTAAAGAATGGAATTTCATCCTAAGCGAATTTAGTCGCGCTCTTATTAAATATTAGTCCTGTATAAAATGTCGTATTTAAAAGTATTGTTTCGCATTCACGAGATTTTGTCGTGAATTCTGCTCTCAGATTGGATCGCGGGTGAATACTTTTTAATGCGACGGGAAATAGAACGTGAAAATCTTGTATGCCTCTGAATCCGAAAACGATTAGGAGAAGAAGTGAATATTTTTCAATACGAAAGTTCACATTTAAAAATTATCGATTGCGATTGAATACAAGGCATATTTGAAACGAATTGAATCCTTGTTAATGCGAAGCATTCACTACTGCCATCTCGCATTTAGCGCGGTGAAATTTAATGGGAACTAATACTTTTTATTTTCCCTTTCTTCGGATCAGAAAGCAGAATTCAGACGTATTCAAAATGTCAATATTTTTTAATATGTTTCAGTTCGACATTTTATACAGGGAGATTATCCGCTGCGGACAATAGCTCTTCTACTTTTCATTTAATATTCAATGATGATAAATAACATTTAATTGCATTCGTTTGGCTTTTTTTATTTCGAAAATAAGAAAATATATACCGGGGTGAGATTTTACCCATGACAACATTAACGTGATTTTCTTTGATGCTTTTTTTAAAAGTTCAAATATTTCGTCGACTCGCGGGATATTTATAATCGGAGTCTCGTCACGTTAATTACGTGAATAACACGTGCTCCTCCGAGCGGATCGAATGCTCACCGACGGCCACTGTCAGTGCCACGAGCGAATGTCCGGAGCGGACGGGATGCTGAATTAAAAAACAAGACGAAGTGAACGGGACGCGGACAACGATACATCATGCGTCTCCATCCATGTCAAATTGTTTATTATAGAAGAGACTTTGATACGGCAATATATATTCGAAGATTTAACATTTAATACGTACTTTTATTTTTTCTGCTCCTCCCCCCCTCTCCGCTTTTTTTAGACCACCGGGCATAGTCTGGCATAGAGATGACAACTGTCATTGCAGCACGGACATAAACCGCCTGAAAGTGGATGTAGCATGGACTTCCACCATATGCAGATTTTACCACCGAGACCTGAAAGTGGATGTACTATCGTAGTTCCCCTCTCAAAATGGATGCAGATGGCGTCCTTTCCTAGTGCGGAAAGTCGGTGTCGCAGAAAATGTCGTATTGGCCGCTCTCAGGTTACTCTCTGCATATACTATAGATTTTCAATGCTGACAATGAATATGGAAACGCAGCCTTTAAGCCCATATTAGACTACGGATTGGGATTGAGTATTGGATTGAAATTTAACCAATCAGGGCTAAGTTTATTATATTTGAGATTATTTTCTTTCTTCCAATTGGTCAAATTTCAATTCAATCTCAATCCCAGTTCATAGTCTGATAGTCGGGCTTTATTATATGCATCGTACATGTTTGTTGAACGTTTTGATTGGTTATCAGATAGAGGATTTCTAAGGTACCCAACTTTATACCTAGCCACCCTAAAAATTCTCTATCTGACAACTAATTGGAATGTCTCATAAGCATGTCATACGATGCATATAAAGCCAGCAGCACACGGTGCTTATTTTTGCGCTGGATGAAAATACTGCGTTCTGATTGGTGATCTTCGGAAATGCAGTCTCTGATACTAGTCTTAAGCTCGATTCCACAACTTGCTTTAAATGGCGTTTAACTCGTTAAATCTAGTTTAAAGGAAATATATTACGTTTCACAATTGCTATTAAAACCTATTCTATATTAGTCACAAGTCGCAAAACTGCAAGTAAATTGTAAGGTTGACTGCTTTCCTTACGATCGAAGAATAATCGACTGTGATTGGTCAATTAGCTTGAAACTTTGTGATCTGTGACCTGTGACTAATGTAGAATAGTTTACAAAAATTTAACTGAATCATTTCAATCATTCCAAAATGGACATATTTATTTAAAATTCAATAAAATTTACATTAGAAAAATAAAGAAATAAATCTTTTTCTAAGAAATGATATTACATTTCTTTACATTATCCTCTAAACGTGCTTATCAGTTGTCCATCTTAGTTTCATCACATCACGTTCTAAGCACGGGCGGCGCTGAAAGCTGTTTCTCTTGTTCAAGAAGAGGCTAGCACACTCTGGCGACACTAACGCTACTGTGCCAAAGCCTAGTTGATGAGAAGCTGCCGACTTTATTCTGTCTCTACGTTAGGTTGCTTTCGTTCTCAACATGGCCTCTGTCGAGAATCTTAACTTAAACGCTCTCATATACGATTATCTGGTGCGTACTGATCCTTCATTGGCGAAGATCTTCCAGAAGAAGACTCATGCGGTAAGTCACGGATATTTGCGTAAATACGAGAATTATATGCCGTTGTATGCATCCCGTCGACTTCCACGCGGCATCGAATCGCCGCCATACCACGTGGGCGCGATGCTTATTCTTAACGAAACTGGATTTTCTCTCGATTATCGCTATACCTTGCGCTAAATTACAACGTCGTCGCAATTTCTAATTTCACTTTCCTTGTATGAAGCGCTACTATTCCGCTTGATCTCAGAATTCACAAATAATCAATATCTTATTTTTGCGGTCGACTTTACAATAAATCAAGTTGCGTCTTAATGAAATAATAGAAAAAACAGCTACGTTGATGAAATTCAAAAAGTATCTGTAAAATTTATTGGGAAGAAAATACTATAATATACATTTACGTGAATGTAAGAACAAAAACCAGAGAGAATATAGTTTTCTGTAACTAGATAATTATTGTTTAGAGAATACTTCAGTGAGAAAATATTGCATCATTTAGTGATGTATAGATTGAGCAAGATTATTATCATTATGTTTGTATTTTTCAGCCCAAGTTGCCACAAGGATCACCAACAATACAAGAGATACTACAGTATTATCAAAAGCACTGTCCTAAGAAACCTGATATAAAGGCACGAGCTGAAGATAGTAACTCAAGTTCAAGCTCAGATAGTCAAGAAGAAGTAAAAAGCACACAAATCAATGGAGACTCACAAATTAAAATGGTTTCAATTAAGCAAACTGCAGAATCTTCCTCTGATAGTTCCTCCTCCAGTGAGGAAGAAGTAGTATCTAAAAAACCAATAGCCAAGAAGACAGAAGCTGTTAAAGTTGCACCTCCAACACCAGAAGAAGATAGTTCCGAGGAGAGTTCTTCAGAAGAAGAGGCAGCGATGCAAGAAGTAATACAAAAGAAAACAAAAGAGAATAAAAAGAAAAAGAAGTCGTCGAGTGAAGAAAGTGACAGTATTTCCATCAAACCTGAAACTAAACTGTCCAAGAAAATGACATCCACTCCCTTAGTACAAAAATTGACACCAGCGGCGAGTCATAAGTTGACACCAACCATAGAAACTCCAAAGTCTATGCAGAAAACTTCCAAGTCAATATTATCTGCATCAGCAGTACACAAATCAACGCCAATGCCACTGGTTGCCCATAAATCTGTACCTACTTCAAAAAATTGCAAAAATATAAAACCTATGGATTATGATGATTCTGATGATTCTGACAATTCCTCAGGAGAAGAGAAACAAGTGGTTAAACCCACACCAGCAGTAGCTAGTAAAAAAGCAGAATCTTCCAGTGATGATTCCGATGATTCATCAGAAGATCAGAAACCAGTTGCCAAACAGCAATTAGCTGTGAAAACACCCACATCTAAAGCAGCTTTGCCATCAAAGAAGCAAAGTAAGCCAACTCCAGCAAAGTTGACGAAAGAAGAATCGTCATCGAGTGAGGATAGTGATGAGGATGAAGAAGAAGAGCCACAGCAAGTTACAAAGAAATCACAAACGTTAAAAGCAACGCCTGCTAAGGTGGAATCTATAAATGAGGATAACAAAAAGAAATCCGCATTGAAGAGACCAGCACCCAGTAAGACTGCAACGACCCCAAGGCCGGCGCCTGTTAAAGAAGAATCCTCTAGCGAAGAAGACAGCAGCGATAATGAACCTCCTGCTAAAAAGATAGCTCCAGCGAAAGTCCTGGCTAAGAAAGAGGAGGAGTCGTCAAGCGAAGATTCTGATGATTCGGACGAGAACGAGACACCGCCTGCGAAAGCAGTAGTCACTAAACCGGTGATTAGTAAAATGCCTCCAAAGAAGCCGGAATCTTCTAGTGACTCATCCTCGGAGGAGGATTCGGAAGATGCTCCAGCAGCTAAGAAGGCAGCTGTACCGGCAAAAACACCGGTGAAGGCGGTTGCGCAGAAGGAGTCGTCGAGCGACTCGAGCGATTCAGATTCCTCCGAAGAGGAGAAACCTAAAGCTGCGGTTAAAGCTAAGCCAGCAAAAGTTGCCGCAAAAGCAACGCCTGCTAAACAGGAGTCGAGTTCAGAGGAGAGTGACTCTGATGAAGATGAGGCACCAAGCCAGGTGCCTGTGAAGTCTCACAAGAAGAAATATACGGATGAAGGCGACAGCAAGCCAGCTGAAGACATGAAACCGCAGAAGAAAAATTACGACAATTTCGTGAAAGCAAGCAATAATTACAACGGTGATAAGGTACGTTGCTATATATACACATACGTATGTTTAATACATACATTGCATATATTTAATTAAGATTGTAGGGAAAATCATCCAACAGCGCCGGCACTCGTTAGTAGTTTTCGACGATTTTACGTGAATTTTGTCAAGTATCAACGTGTATGGGTTCAAGAATAAATAAATAATAAATGACAAATCCCCATACACCTTAACATTTGATAAAATCCGCGCAAAAATACCGAAAACTGGTGGGGTACCATACTATACTAGTAATAACGTTCCAATTTTCAAGCAACTGCATCGTTCCAACACTTTCTCATATCACATATCTTCTAGCTCAAGAAAAATGTTCCATTCCGTCGTGTGAGAGAGGAGGAGATCACTTTGGATCCAAAATTAGCTAACAATTCCTTCGAAGCAAAGGTAAATGCTCGGAAACGTCCGAGAGGCACAGGTCACTCGCCACATGTATGGAAGCTTGGGACCATGTTTCCGTGCATTCACCAAACTTGATTAGATTGATTAGATTTTAAGATCTGAAGCAAGAAGGAGAAAACGAGAAATTAATTGTTAGATAATAATATGCTATGATGATGAGTGGCGATTGACCCGTTCCTCTTTTGTTCTAGGAGGATGAATACGAAAATGACAATAGCTTTAAAAGATCGGAGTCGAATCATGGTGCAAACAAAGGATTTCGGGGTGGTAGAGGTGGTTTCCGGGGAGGACGCGATGACTATCGTGGTGGCGGCGGCGGTGGCTTCAGGGGCGGACGCGACGGCTTCAGGGGCGGACGCGACGGCTTCAGGGGCGGACGCGACGGCGACAAGGGTGGCCGCGAAGGCGACAGGGGTGGCCGCGGTGGTCGTGGCGGTGGCGGTTTCAGAGGCGGTCGTGGTGGTAGAGGTGGTTATGGCGACAGAAAATCGTGGGGCGGAAACGACAGTAACGACGGCTCAAGGAAATCATGGGGCAGTGGAGAAGGCGGTAGGGGGGGCCGAGGCGGTTTTAGAGGCGGTAGAAGTGGCTTCGATCAAAGAAAATCTTTCGACAACGGGGCACCGCCGCAAAATAAAAAGATCATATTTGATGATTAATGATAGAATTGTATATATATATTAAGGTGAGAGACAATGATGACGCGATTGCATACGTGTCTGTAAATTCGTGCAGAATATTTGTTTCTTTTCCGTTTTTTTTTCTTTTGTCATCTTCAATAGCATGAATAAATAAATAAGTATGTAATCCTCTCCCCTGTGTGATCAACAGAAAGGGGCGCGCGGATCTTGGGGGGAACGAGCTTATCAGGATCTGAAGTATACAAAAGGCAAATCGTTCCGGCATGAGAAGACCAAAAAGAAACGTGGGAACTACCACGGTGGGCAGATAGATACTAGTGTTAATTCCATTAAATTCGACTATTAAACCATTATATGTAACGCATAACATTTGATTTTGTTTACCACTGCATTTAGATGATTAAGGCGTTAAGTTAAAAACACTAGCTTATGCTGTGAACATTTATACCGAAATATTCTATAAGACGTTTGCTCTCGAGTGCTCTTCGAAAAGATGACACGGTCGATTATATTATTGCCGAACAGTATATATATATATATTTTATAAAACCGTGTATTTTGTCTTTATAGCAATTGTTCACGATCTCTCTGTGATGTCCGCTACATAATTTTATTCATAATATATCACACGAGGATATGTTGATTGTAAGAAGAGAACTTATGGAAAGTGTCATATATTGCTAAGATTATATATTATACCTTTTACATTGCTACATCAAATTGAGAAAAAACACTAGTAAGATTTAATGTAACCGAAACATCTATTGTTCCTAGCCGATTCGACGGCTGCGGGCCTTCAAGTCTAATCAAATCTAACATTTATTTTCTACAATAGTTGTTCAAAGTGTAAGTTTAACTTGAGACAATTACAAGCGTTCAATTTTTTTTTTATTCGTATCAAAAGGCTTTAAATGATTAGTTGCGAGTGATCATGGAACTGTCTACGATTCTTCAGTCGGAAATTACCGGCATTCTGAACTCGGTTTTGTCGGTAAGAGTGGCTTATAGCCAGTCAATAAACTTGTGAGTTATTTTTATCGGTAAAAAAAGAGTCCAAAATACCGGTCATTTCGATCATTGATTGCTGCTATTGACGTTTTTTTTTTCTCTAATGGAAAAACTCGAGTGGAAACGTTGGCAGATAATTCTTGATGACACTCCAATTACTCAATAAAACAACGCCATCGACTTCATGTCTATTTATCTATTGTGGTATTTTGCGAGTTAATAATTTAAGTATCAATTTATGATTGTCAACTGACTCTTCTAGCACACATGAAGATTTTATCATCCTCTGTTGATTTTATGATACTCCAATGTTATATTTCAATTAATGTTCAATCGATTCTTCGGACTTTTATACAATACAAAGATGATTCCTTGAACAATAAACTATTTGTGTGACAGCGTGATAATTATATAAAAGACGTTTCTCACATACACACACTCACACACACACACACACACACACCTGTATGTTTTTATGTAACGACAAAAGAGAAAAGCGCGCATAACAGCTTCAGTATTCCTTTTTTTTTCCATCAACTACGCGAAACCGTATTTTAACGATCATTAAAATCAATCAGTAACAGTAGCGGCCGAATTGCAACAAAAAGGACCGAGTCCTCCCGCCGAGCGGAAATTACTGGTTGCTTTTACGCCACGAGGCGGATGACGGAGGACTTCTTCTGTCGATTTGGATTCTGTCTCGTCCGCTCCTTGGATCCGCGTCGCTCGATCCTCATGAGGCACTGAAAAAAAGGCGCCGCGGCGGAGAGCGGCTACCCTCCTTCGTGCCTGCCGATCTTCTCTCTTCAGTAGGCGGAAAAAGGTTTAGAGGCAGAATAGGGACCAGTATCCCCGGCCAGAGGATCCCCTCTTTCGCCCCGGCTCGCTGCCCAAGCACAGAGAGCGGTTACTTACGATTCTACAGTCAACCTCTGGACATCCACCTGCGAGGACGGAGGTGCTCGACCCCACGACATCCGGTGCAGTGACATGAATAGTGTTTGAGACTCACAGGGACTGTCGTGTGCCCTACTTCCAGTATCCCTATTTTTTTCTCTTTCCGTTTTTCTCCGTTTCTCTTTTTCTCTCTCTCTCTCTCTCTCTCTCTCTCTCTCTCTCTCTCTCTCTCGCTCTTTCTCCCGCTCTCACCCGGTCTCGCAAGGACGGGCCTGGTCGATTAATGTAACGTGGGGTTCGCCGGACGGGCTGAGGAAGAGGACTCTTGACGCGCTGAAACCGATGTTCCTCACGGTGAGTAAACGTCAGACCCGCTGTTTCCGAAGCCTCAACGACACCGTCAGTCATCGACTCGCCCGATCGAAATTCAAATTTCGCTTCGAGATCTCGCCCGTGGCGGGGAAGAATTTCGCAGGAACTCAGCCAGAGCTTTCTTTCCTATCGCTGGCGCGCACTATCGGAACTTGAAAAGGGAGGTTCATCGGGAAAAAAGGGGAAAGGGAATCGGAAATAGCGCAGCCGGTTCAGCAACGGGAAACGAGTTGTCAACCCTCGCGGTCGGGAAATTCGAGATCCGCGCGCGCGGCCGAGACTTGAAGCGCTTAGTCGTTTCTCTACCCCGGGTCCTCCTCCTTCCGAGACGCAGAAATTCTTCCCGACGATCGAAAGCGGAAAAGCCGAGCTCACGTTTGGGCTTGCGGTTTCGAGTTAGAGGACGGCTCGTAAAAACGGTCAGTCGGTTTCATTTGCATTAGCCGCGACGGCGAGTTCCCGAGGGGAACTCGCGGCGCGACAGTTACACAATAATTTATTCATGAAACGAACCGCCGAAACGCGCGTGTACCGTTATCGAGAGCGCGAGGATGAGTAAACGCGCACGCTCGATCACGTTTGACTGTGGAACGCGGAGAGGAAGCGGCGTTTTGGACGCTCCGCCGTTACCGTTAGGCTCGCTGACGCATCGCGTCTCCGGATCATCGGGATCTCTGTTGCTCGAAGCCGCACGCGTGTGCGTGTGGAGTTTTCCCGAAGACGGAGGAAACGGAGTCTTCCCTCGTCCGGCCGCCCGTCTCGCTCGCTTTCATGTCGAGCGAAGCGGAGGAGCCGATTTTCCGGAGCGTCGCGCACACGACCATGTCCGGCGTGGACGAGCGAGAAGGAAGGCGCTTTTCGTTTCCCAACGGTGTACGCTGAGGAAAAAAGTGTTCGGTGTCTGTAACTGTAATCGCATAGCGGAGGAATCGTGGCCGGGACAGCCATTTCTGTTGTAAGTGTCCATTATAGTGTTGCCGATAACGATCTCGCGTTGTGTTTCTGTCGGAGATGCGCGGATGAAATCGAAACGAAATTCCGCCCGAGTCGAGTCGTCGAGGCCTGGCATTTAATATGAACAACTTGATTAATAAATTATCGTTAATTGTGGACGATTTAGTAAATTATGGATATTTGAATTCTAACGAGGGATCGGGCGTATTAAATTCAGTTATTAAGTAAAGTAGTTATTAAGTTCAACCGCGGGAGAACAACGAAATTTAACGGTCGCGTAAACGAGCATAATAATTATAAAGTAAGAATTATATATTTAAAGTCCGTAATTTTTAACGTGTGATGATACACACACACGCTCCGAATATATTTCCGAACTCGCAACATGAGCGGTGAATTAAGCTTCTGCGTCAGATTACCCTGAATTATTGTTATTATTATTAAATTATCATTACATCTGCTTAATTACTTAATCCTGCGTTGATTGATTTCTTTTGAGAATTGCGGGATATATTGGCTTCCTTATTTGCCTTATAGATTTAAAAAAAAATCGACTAACGCAGGAATTGAATATGACTTTCCACAAGATTGCCACCACGCGAAATCTGTTTTCGATTCAAATTTCCGCAATTCGCGGGATCTTTTAATTGCAGGCAATACTGATTTATTACTTATTGAATATTCAAAATAAAGGGGGTGGGGACAACGATCCTGTCGAAGCGTTGCATTTTTCCCAATGGCGGCTTTATGTCAATGGAACACGTGTTTTAGCTCTTTTTAATATATTTTATAGTTTTCGAGATAATTAGCTGGAAAGTTTTCAAATGAACACTCTGTATATGGCCTCAGAGGATTCCTCTAAGATTAAGAGGAAAATATTATAAATCTGTTATTCTTAAAGTTAGAGAGATTATATGTTATATGTATAATGCAAATCTTATTGATTTTAATATAATTTTCTCTTGTATACAGATTATTTAATCTTTTTTTAAGAGGATTATTTATTCTTACTGTACTTTATTCTTACTGGTTATACTAGTTAATTTGAAAAAATTATTATAATTATTATAATAATTATAGCGAAAAATAATATATATATAGATGAACTTCTGACTCCAGTTCTGCAATAAGTAGGCACGAATGAAATAAGATCATCATAACAAATAAATTTCCAGTTAGTTTTGTTATGGACTTTATAGCTACAAAGATTTTCAGTATAACTAATTGTATGAAACATAGGTAAAAGAAAGAATATATTATTCAACTTCTTGCAACAGATTATAAACTATATTTGACCAAATATGGATAAATTATCTTCGTTATATGTTACAGCAACACACATACCTCTTTCTAAAAAGCGTCCCAAATATTCTGACCCATGAGCATATGATTATTTTTTCGCTCATGTCTGGAGATGGCTGAACAAAAGAAGCCGACATTCAAATCAACATATCCCTCTTCATATAAAAGGAAAATTAACTGATATAAGAGAAAATCCTCTTGAAATATGAGGAAAACAGTTGGAATAATATCTAATAAATTGAGGAATCCTTTTCCTGTAAAAGGCTTCGCTTAGAATATGATACTATGGGAAAAATCACTTTACAAATAGAATACTTTTTTGGGGTGATGTGCTAAAAAAAACGGACTGCACGAAAGTGATTTAAAAAAATGTTCTTCCGGCGACGAACCGCTCGAAGCTTCATCACGTTCAGGGAAGCCCTCCGTTATTGATGATGAAGAGTGATGAACTATTCATTCATGTATCAATCATAACATTTTTCCCGAAAACTTCTGCTCTCGTTTAATTTTTAATATACAAAACTGCACGAACTTTTTTGATTACTCAATATTGATAACACCTCGTGTTGAATGTTGAAGCTACCACGCCGGTGAGTGCACGCTTACGCACAGCCGTGCGGCCCCGACGAGAAAAGCGCAGATCGTCATGAGAAATCGCCGGGCGGAACAATCGAGCCGTCCGAAATCGCCGGCAGCACGGAGATGATCTCGATCGCGCGCTCCCGAGTTCAAACGATTCCCACGTTCGCGTCGCTGCTCTCCTCCCTCTGCGATCGCGCGTCTTCCGGATCACCTCGCGACGCTCGTCGCCGCCGTCGTCGTCTCGATGATTTGTCAACCTCGGTCGCTTTTTCACAGCCGCGCACCTCGCCTCAGGCCGCTATCGGCGTTTCGCGCTTCATCGGCCCGCGCGGATTCCTCACTGAGAAAGGGGGAGGGACAATCACGCCGGTCGAATCGCCAATTCCAGGCAGGTGCGTGTAAATCGCGTAAATATGCGTGCCGCGTCCGCCGCGACTCGTCACGACTTCGCCGTGCGGAAATCCAGGACGAGCGTCGCAAGAAGCGACCGCTCGCGACCCGTATCGCGGATCTGCGTGCGTGCGTGCGTGCGTGTGAACGCTGTTAATTATCCGCAAGGTCGCAACGATGGAGTAACGTTACTCCGCGGGACGCGCCGGTGCGGAAGAGGCGCGAGATCGAGATCGCAGTGGCGAGATCCAGCCTGCGCGAGATTCTCTCCCAGCGATCTCGCCACGGTCGCTCGCTGTGGGAAATCTCCGGGGGCCGCGAATTAATCGCGACGTTAATCGAGCGCCGATTACGCGCTCGTATCGCTGTGCGACTACGAAGAAAGCCGCGAGAGCCAGAAAGAGAGGTGCAACTGGTCGGCCTGAGCCTAAAAACTAGCAGGCTGGATCACCTTTTCTAGCTCGTTATATCAGCTCGCCGCTGACTGATTGTTCGCTAAGACGCGCAACCGGTTCTCTGATCTAGTCGTTACACGTCAGGCATGATTCGAGTAAATGAAGCTGTCCATCTGATATATTTAGAAAATGATTAATAAATAAAGCGTATTTATCACGTGATAAATATATATCTGTATAATAAATATAATAAATAAATAAATATATAATAAATATAATATAATAAATATAATAAATATATCCATCCGATTATGAATATGTTACATCTTGCTACGTCTGAATTATAATTTTAATCTATCATTTTAATATATTTGAGACATATACATGGGGAAAGACGTGTGCTTGAGCGAGAGAATTTTCTAGCGAAATATGAACGATTTTTTTCAATCGAAATCGTTCGTATTTTACCAGAAGATTTCCATAAAGCACAGAAGTTGCAGCAATGTTGCTGCAACTGCTGTGCTGTATGGGTTGGTTCGTTCGAGCAATCATTTTTTTTCCGTTTTGTATTTACAGAAATGTATAAGATACAATTATAGATTACGAGTCTTGAATACATAATATAACTGCTATAATATGCCCCTTAAAATTAGATGGAAAATGAGCGTTGTACTGTAAAAGTTTGAAAAAAGCAAAAACAAGCATGATGCTATTGACCGGCGACTAGCTGCGTGAGTTCTTACCGAGTAACTGTAATTTCTTCTGTTCAGGCGTCAGCTAACTTACTTATCTGGTCGCTAAAAGAAGTGAGTGTTACATTATTGGCTAATGGCGACGTGTCGGCTACAAATTTACCGCGTCAGGACTCGAGGAGTCGCGAGGTTCGGTCTCTGCTTCAGAAAGAGATGGAAGAAAGAGCGCAAAACGCAGGCGATTGTTTACGCTCTGTCAAGAGCGCACAAGTCAAAAAGCACGCGACGAAGCGCGGAAGAGTAATCGCCGGGATCGCGCAGGAGTCGCTTGACTCGAAAGCAGACGAGAGCACTTCGCTGGCCGAGATGTAACGAGAGTAATCATCCTCTCCGGCCGTGGCGAATTTATTACGTGTGCAGCGCCGCTGCGCGCCGGCAATTATCCTCCCTGACTCCTCGACTTGGCGCGATTAACGATACATCCCAAGATACTTCTTCGACGTGACCGAGCTGTGCGCATGCGGGCCTCTGTAACGGTCCGTCGATCGCCGTTCCAATTTTCTGCCGATATATCGTTCATGGCGGCCGACAATCGGCGGGCTTTGTAAAGCATACGCGCGACGATTACGCGCGAACGCGGCAGACGAGAGAGCGAGATCGACAATCGCACAATGCCGGGATCAAGGATCCGCCGAGGTAACAGGTACGCCTCGCGGGATCTCGGCGGTCACGGCCATTGACCAACCTTGGACGGTATCCGTTAATGATTTCCTCGCCCGTCCGCCGTGGATCGCGTATTATCCAAGCGCGCGCGTCGAACATCCGTCAAAAGTCGTCCTCCGAGGAAGAAAGAGACGAGCGATACCCCTCCCTCCTCCTTCTTCTTTTCTCTCTCTCCTCGCTTCTCTCTTTCCGAGGAGAAACTCGAGAACGAAAAGCACCACGAGTACCGCAAGTTTCTGAGACTTGTTCCGAAATCGGTTTTGAAAACTTTGGTTTCAGTCATAAGGTTGGTAGGCCTTGAATTAACTTAGCCGATCAATTGTCAAGATAATAAGCAGTAAAAGGACCTATCCATTTTTCCACCTGATATTAACAATCAAACAACCAAGTTTGTAAACAGAAATAGTACGTGGTCGTGGACGTCCAAGCGTAATCAACTGATCAATTACGGAACGTATCTAAGGTTAGTTTAACCCTTTATATCTTGGAGGTACTTAAGAGTACCATTCTATATATATGTTTTTGAATTTCCTTTTCTGTGCCTTACCCCATATAACATACAAAGTTGTAAAAACGTTGCTTCAACATTGCTGCAACATTGCAACATTGTTTCAAAGTTGCAGCAATGTTGCTGCAACTTCTGTACTATATGGGATCCTACATTCCTGTCGGTATTTGAAACCACCTTAAAATTTAATCATTAAGTTGTAAAATTTACTTCCCTGTTCCTTATGTTTATGATATGCCAAAAGCTATTTAGTTATACAAAAATTGAATAAGGTGTTAGATAAATTAATTCAGGATATAAAGGGTTACGGCCTGCCAACCTTGTAACTAAAACCAAAATCTCCGAAATCGATTACGGAAAAGATTTCTGGCTTCCTGAAACGTTTCAGTGATTCCTGAGACGTCTGAATAAGTTTTCTTCGGGGGTTTGGCGGAGAAGGAGACAGACGGCGACACAGATTCGTGAGATTCGGAGCGGCGCCCGATAATCAGTGCCAGGGTTAATTGAGCCTCGCGCCCCAGACGAGGACTCGTGCGTTAGATGCTTGGAAAGCGATTGCCGCTTATTATTCTGCGCGGGAAACGCGGGCGCCGGTATGCAGCACGTGAAAATCGCGATCGCGACGCGACGCGACGCAACGATCGACGGACGACGAGCTCGCTTCTTTCGGCGCGCGATCGCTTTCACTCGTCATCGGATAGTGTACGGAACGCATAAACGCGCGCATAACGGATTTCGCGTGGTCTCAGCAACCTACAAACCCCGAATAGAGGAAATCGCGTGGCCTCGGTTACAGACGATCGCGGCTAATTTTATTTTTAATCTGCATTCTCGTCACATCGCTCACACACACTCCCCCTCCTCCGCCTCCCCCTCTCTCTTCTTCTTCCTGTCTTTGCTCTTTCTTTAATGTTTCTAAATAACATTGTCCAAATGTGGCACTGGTTCGTATCGACAGGCTCCACAGGTTATTTTTTATTCGTCATCTTTTTACTTGTGCTGATTCAATTTTTCTATTTGTTTTAACTTTTACTTTTATTAATATATGATATGTGGATTATCCAAGCCAATAATTGTTTTCTTTATATAGGTACTATAACAATTTTATATTTTTGTTAGAATTGTAGTAGCTTTTGTATTGTTACATGCATCTTTGTTGCGCTTGAGAGAAATATTTTGCAAAGAGCCTAATAAATTACCTCTCTCATATT